GTATGTATGTACGGAGACAGGGTCTCACTTTGTTGTCAGCTGGAGTGCAGTGTGATCACAACTCACTGCAACCTTGAATTCCTGGGCTTAAGTGATCCTCCCGCCTCAGGTTCCCAAAGTGCCGGGATTAAGGGCATGAGTCACTATCTTTCAACATATAGTAGCTGGTTTATTTCATAATTGCTATGTTTTGAATGTGTCCCCCAGAAGTTAGGGCTTTAGAAACCTAATCCCTTTGCCCTCTTGAATGGATTAATGGATTCATGGGGGCTTTACCTTTACGAATGGGTCAATGTCACTATCACAGGAGTAGTTTCATTATCACAGGAGTGATTTTGTTATAACATGGAGCTCTCTCTGGCTCTCTCGCTCTTGCTGTCTCACCATGTCCCATGCTGGGATGCATCGTCATGCAGCACAAAGGCCCTCGCCAGAGGCTGGTGCCATGCTCTTGGACTTCTCAGCCTCCAGAACTGTGAGCTAAATAACCTTTCTTTAAAAAAATAAATTACCCAGTCTGTGATATTCTGTTATAGCAATGGAAAACAGATTAAGACAGTAATTCTATGTATTATTTTATTTGATTTGTTATTGGCAGTCACCAAACTACCAAAGGGGTTCATGGCACAAAAAGGATAAGACTGTCAGGAGCAGATGACCTGGCAAATGCAGATGTGGAAAAGGAATAGGCTTGGAGCAAATGCAAGGTTTAATCGCTCTTTCAGGGTTTTATGCTCCTTGCCTCTATTAATTTAGTAAATGGCTTTGTCACGGGTGTGTTATTGTTTGCTTTTCTTTGATGGCATCCCTCATGTCTGCGCTGAGCAGGTGACTAAGCACTTGGGACTTGATGGGCTGAAGATGGGACATCCCCAGGCTCTCTGTTCTTGAAGAAACAGCTGCAGCAGGTTCCTTGAATATGTGTCAGGATCTAATTTTCCTAGGAGGAAAAAAAACCCTGTGAAACTATATATGCAAATGTGAAAGAACAGAGAGGAGGTTATCTCCCTTGGGTGTTCCCTTCTCCTCCTAGTCATTTGTTGAGCATTTACATGCATCGCCCCCATTTAATTCTCATAGAGCCTGGGAAGTAGTTTTCTATTTCTACTTAACAGAAGAGGAAACGTTACAGGAGATATTTCAAGACTTACTCCAGGTAAAGCTGTTTGCAAGTGACAGAGCTAGAACTTGGTGGTCTCAAAGCCTGTGTCACACTGTTCTCACTGCCTCTGTGTCCAGCCTATGCAGGGCAGGGAGAAGAGCACCAGGGTGGCCTTAGGCAACTCATGGGTGTCTGGGGAATCAAACAAGGCAGCATATACCTGATGAAAGGAGCCTCAGAAATTTAAAGCAAGTGATTGCTTTCATCTAGGGTGGTCCGAGAAGTCTTTCTTGAGCTGGATCATAACAGATTCAGACATGGAGAGGTGGAGAGAAAGCTGTGGGGCTGATCGTGGGGGGCAGGGGCAGCAAGGGGATGGGTAAGGACAGATCAAAGGAGGTGCAGGGGATCAGTAAGAGAGGAGGCTGGTGGCCTGGGATGGATGAATGCAAGCCTGATTCCCAAGCTGAGCAGTTTATACTTATTTCAGCAGGATATTGGGGAGCCACCAAAGGTTCTTGGGAGGGCAAGTCATACAATAAAGCTTCACTTTAAGAAATGAATTGGGAGTTGGAAGATGGTTTAGGGGGTGGCAGGTCTGGAGACTGTGAAACTGGTTAGGAAGTTATTGCAACTGCTTGGGTGAGAAATGCTGAGGACCTGAAATAAGGTGATGGAGGGGAGACAGGAAGGTCAGCAGGAGCTGGATGCCTGATCGCATGGCAGGGCACGGGTGGCTGGGAGGACCCAGTGGGGCATGTGGACAAGAGAGAAATCAAGGGAGGCTGAGAGGACCAGCCTTATGGCTCTTAGCATTGGAGTGACTGTGGGGAGTTTTAGCTCATTCATCCTGCAGTTTCCCATAGGTCCTGCAAGGGAAGTCCAATTGGCCTGTGATAGAGACCTGTCTGGAGCCCAGGCTCTCCAAGCTGTCTCCTGGTTTCCAGGAGAGATCAGCCCTTGCCCCAGGCCTGCTACATTGGCTTTCGCTTTTCCCACAGTTTAGCCCCAGAAGTGGTGGGAGCAGAAGCTTTGACCACAAACTGGAGCCATGAAGCCAGTTGTGGTGGCATGAAATAAACGGCTTCAGACCTGTGGAAGTATTGCACCTGTTCATAGATGATCAAAGGAGCGGCAGGTGCATTTTCTTCCTCCTTTGCAAATGGCCAGTTGCCCTGAGTTTTCCATGAAAGAAGGGCCATGGAGAGTAATGGTGCAGCTCTCAGACTCTGGAGCCCAACTATTACAGGTGGGCCCAAATCCCAGCTCTGTGTCCATCAGTTGCTTCATCTGTAAAATGGGAATAATATTGTTATGCCCCTCCACGGACTACGGAGGATAAGTGAGTTAAAACACATAATGCTAATCGTGCCTGGTATGTAGTTGGTGCTTAATAAATAAATGTTGAATGAATTAGTTTTTTAGAATGAAACATCCCAAGGAGAAGAATCAGAGGTGATTTTTTTTTTCCCTTTTGCATGTGAAATGGAAAAATCTAGATAAGAAAGGGCCTAGCTTTGTTCTGGCCACTTCACAATAGTCCACTTGAGTTGGGGGAGAGGAGAGTTACTTGAGGGAGTACGCTAAAAACTCATGAAAAATGATTTCCTTTCTCTGCTTATTGAAATTCTGCCTTCAAGGCCCAGTTTAAGCGTCACCTCCTCAGAGGAGCCCTCCTTGGTTTCCACCCTTCCTCACCCCTGTCAGACTCATGGCTTCCTTCTCTATTCTCCCCAGTGTTCAGCATGTAGGTTGATGGTAGCACTCACTAATTCTGCTTTGTTTTACCTGTACTCAAGTTCATGGCTGTCTCCTCTCTGTGGTGGAGCTTTGCGTTGGATGGGTCTGGGAAGTCCCACCTACAGCTGACAAGCTGGGCTGGGCTCCAGGCCATCACAGGTCCTCCATCAGCAGCTCTGTCCACCCTGGCCTTGTTCCTTCAGACAAATGTGGCCAATGCGTTGAATTAACAGAACTTTTAGGATCAAATCACAAAGCAACTCCCGATTTAGTCGGTGGAATCACCTCTTCCCTGGCCACTGCTGCAAACTCAGGCAGTCCTATAACTTTTCTGGTTGCTCTTAGTTAATAAAAACTGTCTCACTGCAGGAAGGTGAAATGTCCCGTCCAGAATTTGAGTTAAAATGAAGGCTTCTTGCCTCTGCCGTCCTGAGCTTGCTGCAGGTAGGGAGCCTGCAGCTGGAAAGGGGCTTAGCTTTTCCCTCCTTCCTCACCCAGCTCACTGCCCACATGCTACTCAGACTTCCCGGCATTTGACCCAGTGGGCGGCTCCTACAGGTGTCTCCCCTGGCTCCTGTGAGGCCCACTGGCCTTGGTTCCGCTCTTTCTGAGGCTGTGACATTGAAGTTGTCTCTTTGGCTCTTCTCTGTCCATACTCTGTCGCTGGAAAGCTGCACCCCAGCAACATTCCCATCTCTCCCTTCAACCCAGACCCTCCCTGAGCTCCAGACTCTGGTTGCCAGTGTTGGTTTCCAGTGCTGGTTTCCAGTGTTCAACCTGACAACAGCTGCTGGCGCCAAGGCTTCCTGAACTTAGTAACTGCCCCCACTTAATTGCTGAGATGAGAAACCCCTGGCGGTGCTTGTTTTCTCTCTTTCCCTCCAAATCCACGCGCAATCTAGCCGTAAGCTCTGCAGGCTCTGCAGCAGCAGTTCTCAGCCCAGAGTGACTGTGGCCCCCGGGGGACATTTGGCAATGTCTGAAGATATGTTTTATTGTCTTAATTGGGGGTGGGTGGTGCTATGGGTGTCTAGTGGACTGAGGCCAGGGATGCTTCTAAACACCCTATAGTGCACAGGCCAGATCCCACAGTGAAGTGTCTTCCAGTCCAAAATGTCAGTAGCAGCACCCCAAGAAACCCGCTCTGCAGCCAGAATGCATCCTGCACCCTACGCTCCTCCCGCCTCCACTGCCGTGGCCCGGCCAGAGCAACATCTCGTCTGGCCTGACTGACTGCAATGGCCTCTTCCACTCTTGTCCTCCCGCAGACTGGTTTCCACCGCACAGCCAGCAATGCCTTTCTTTCTTTCTTTCTGTCTTTTTTTGAGACGGAGTCTTGCTCTGTCACCCAGGCTGGAGTGCAGTGGTGTGATCTCAGCTCACTGTAACCTCTGCCTCCTGGGTTCAAGCGATTCTCGTGCCTCAGCCTCTTGAGTAGCTGGGATTACAGGCACATGCCACCACACCCAGCTAATTTTTTGGGTATTTTTAGTAGAGACGGGGTTTCACCATGTTGCTGAGGCTGGTCTTGAACTCCTAACCGCCTCAGCCTCCCAAAGTGCTGGGATTACAGGCATGAGCCACGGCACCCGGCCAGCAGTGCCTTTCTAAAACAGGAAGATCCTGCCCTTCCCCAGCCTAAAACCTTCCGGTGGTTTTCCGTGGCTCTTAGAACCAAACTCATCTCTGGTCAGCAAGGCTCCGGACAGTCCCTGCTGCCCACCATCCTCCAGGCTCAGTCTCAGGCATGGCTGCCCTGGCCTGTCTCTTGTCCCTTGCTGGGGGACTTTGCTCTGGCCATCCCATGGGCTTAGCATGTTCCTCCCAGACCTCAGTGCCCCTCCTCATCTATCAGGTCTCTGCTCCCACCAGCCAATCTCAGGAAGCTGGGGGGGCGGTGGGCGGGCTGTGGCCCAGGGCGGGGGGCGGTGGGCGGGCTGTGGCCCAGGGCGGGTTTGGGGCTGTGCTTTGTGACTCAGCGCAGGTTCACTCCTCTGCCCTGGGGTGTGGTGGGGGTGACGCTGCTTTGAGTCAAAGCAGCTACAAAACTCCGAGCGCAAGTCAGCTGTTTTCTACATCTGGAAGCGGGCGGGGCTCCTTCTCAGGTTTATCGAAGGCAGGCAGCCGCTGACCCCTCCCTTTGCTGTTGGAGGTGAGGAGACGGAAGGGGACACAGGCCATGGGAACTCGCCCCTGCTGAGTTACTCTACCTTTGGCAGCCTGAAGTTCGGGCTCCTGGCCCAGCATTGCAGGTCCCCCGCTGTCGGGATGGACCCCAGGCTCAGAACCCTCATCTGGTCAGGGCTCTCCCCCTGCCTGGAACCAACCCACAGACCTTCCAGGACTCAGGCCAGGGCAAAAGTAAGGGGCACAAGTGGAGAGAACACCTGTGGAGGTGCCTGCTTGGTGCAAGTTCAGGCAGAGGCGCTTGACGTGACACTTCCCCTTTAACTGACTCATCACTCCCAGCGTCCAGGCTGCGTCATGGCCATTATGCAGAGAAGTCAACCAAATCGCAGAGAGTTCATTGACGGGACAGAGCCTTGCAGGGGAACAGATTCAATTGCAGAACTCAGGCCCAAATGACTCCGCACCACGTGTGCAAGTGCAGACACACACACACACACACACACACACACAGCCTGCCTGTGCTGCTGAGGGTGCAATAAGGACCAAGACCAAGAGAAAGAGTAGCCAAGGGAAGAGGGACAGGCTTTTGTTGGGACAGTCCTGGTGGCAAAGGGCATTTTGGCTGAGAAACCCCTAAAGTTAGATTTGACCCCATGACTGGGGTGGGGGGCACAAGCTTATCTCAGAGCTGTCAACTCCCCTGCTCTGGGGTCTGGTTGATCCGTGCAGGGACACAGCCCTGTGTGCTGAGAGGAAAGCTGGCCCTGTGTCGGGGGTGGGACAGGCACCCAAGGGCCCCGTGGCCCTCCCTTTTCTTCCCCAGGTGGCTGCCCCGCCCCAGAGGCGCTCCTGCCACCCGCCTCTCCGAGGGGGACGCCTCCAGCCACTTGTCCCAGCCTCGGGAGTCTCCACAGCAGAGAGAGATGTGGGAGGGTGAGTTCTGAGGAGATTCGGAGTTCTGAGGAGATTGGGATCCTCTCCAGGGATGAGGGAGCCGGGCTGGAGGGGCTCGTGGGGAGCGGGGGGCCTCTGCCCCTGCTGATTGAAGAGGAGCGCGCTGTGGGCATCTAGTGAACCGAGGCTGATAGAAAAGAAGGGGCCCCTGGCCAGGCTCCGTGCTGAGGACCGGGCGCCTTTGTTGCTTTTGAAGAGAGAGAGTCTTGGGGGAGCAAGCCCGCGGCTGCCTCTTCCTCCCTCAGATGATTCCTTTGCCCTAACTGGACACCTGGTGGGGCTCAGAGTTGATGGGGTCACAGGGGATCTGCCAGCTCAGGAAAGAAGAAGGTGAGCAACAGGGACAACTTCGGTTCTCCCATTCAGGGATGGGGTGGCCTCGGGCAGGTTACCCCATGGCTCTGCTCCTAAGCCTCTTCCCTGGGAAACTGGGCCAACACCTCCTACTTCACAGGCAGGCCGTGAGAACCAAACCTCGGGGTCATTAGCCACCAGGAAATGCAAACGAAAGCCACAGTGAGATGCCACCACACGCCCACGGCTACAGTAACAATCAGTAATGGCGGTGGGGGGGCGGGGGGCAGGGGGCAGACGCCCCCCCACCTCCCCACTCCTCTCTGGCGGGAACGGAAAACAGCCTAGCCCCCTTGGAAAACAGTTTGACTGTTTCTTAGAAAGTTCCACGTCACCTCCTTATACTAGATGGAAGAAGAGTGTGTGCTGCATGATTCCATTCAGATAAGTTTCTAGAAAATGCACACCCGTCACAGTGATAGAGGCAGATCAGGGTCTGCCTGGAGAGGGAGGGTGTGCAGGGGCAGGAGGGACGGGCGACAGAGGGGCACATGGCTTCCGGAGGCGGTTTCACAGGTGTAGACATGTCAAACTCATCAAATTGTACTGCTTCATTAAATATCAGTTATACCTGGGTAAAGCTGTAGAAAAATATCTTTTTGGAGGCAATAAAGGGCGGATTTACACTGCAAAAAAAAGGCAAGGCAAGTAAGGCGCCTGGCACAGGGCTGTTTAGTCAATGCCAGCCGCTGGACATGTGAGCCCAGACTAGTTTCTCACAACTTCCATTCATTCTTCCCTTCCCGAACACGGAAACGGAGCAAGGGGAGGGACGGGAGCTCCGAGCCCTGCCTGCAGGAGCGCCCAGAGACACGCATCACAGAACTGGGTCGCGGTGCTGGGGATCCAGGACAGGAGGGCCTCGCAGATGCCCGGAAGGTTGGGAGGAAGCGGCTGGAGAGCAGGCGGAGAAGAGGGTGAAGGAAGATTTCACAGAGGATATGGCATCTGGGGTTGTGAGGGACTCTCCTCGAGGCCACTGCTTAGGGCTGTCTGGGCTGGTGAGTGGGGCCTAAGGGATCCTCTCCTCCACGTGGTGGGGTATGGAACACGGGACATGGGACAGGAGAGCTCAGCCCAGGGGTGTTCCCAGAGCCCCTGGGAGCAGAGCAGCCACAAGCAGATGAAGGGCCCGGAAGCAAGAGGGGCTGAAGGGCCAAGACTTTGGTGGGGTATCAGTTTCCCAGGGCTCTGTAACGACCGGGTCAGGAAAGGCACCAGGTGGCACTGCTTTGGGAGAAAGAGCCTCCCGTGCCCCTAATCCCTAACCCTTACCCGGGGGCAGGGAAGCCACTGGGATTCCGGGAGGAGGCCTTCGCAGGCTTCTTTTGGGAAGTGGCTCCCCTTTGAGAATGAGGGTGGAACACAGGGAAGTGGAGGCAGCACAGCGTGGAGCCCTGGCTCCAGGGTCTGATGAAGTAGCTTCGTATTTGCCTCTGCCACATCCTAGCAAGGTGACTTTGGGCGCAGTACTTTGCCTTTCTGGCCCTCTGGGTGATTGGTTGTTACTTTTATTTTGTTCTGAACTCTCGGTAACATCTAGCATGTATATGAGCCTGACTAATGGTTCACTTCGTTCATTCATTCAGACACTCATTGATCAAATCTGACCAGCTCACACTCTCCTGGGTTAGCCATTAAATCCCAGCACCTGTAGTCAGGTGGACGTCGTTCCCCACAGCTGGGCCCTGCTGGGGACTCATCTTCCTGTGCTCTTGCCACACACCTACCTGCAGTTTCCAGAATGTGCCAGGCTCCCTGGTGCTGCTGAGCCTCTGCAAGTGTGGCTCCCCTGCCTGAAACGCCCCCACCCTCCTGTTGGTCTGGCCGCCTCCCAGTCAGCCTTGTCCAGTTACATTTTCCTGCCTCACTTCCCCACTGAGTGAATGTGGCCCCTCAGCTCTCCCAGCCCCTTACCCTTGGGCCTCTAGTTTGGCAGCTGTCACACAAGCTACAGTCACAACTGGTCTGCCACCCATTGCAGACGGGGCTCCTGGAAGGGTGATGCTACGGCTCCCCCCACCTCTAGCACGGTGTCCAGCACAGAATGGGAGCTGAGGAAATGTTTGTAGCAAGAGGTAAAACTGCTTCACAGTATGTGTTCTGAGTTGAACTGTTTCCCCCAAAAAGATATGTTGAAGTCTTATGACTTGAATTGTGTTTCTCCAAAATCCATATGTTGAAGCCCTAACCCCTGTACCTCAGAATGTGACTGCATTTGGAGCAAGGGCCTTTAAAAAGTAGCGTAATTAAGTTAAAATGAGGTCATGTGGGTGGGCTGTAATCCCATCTGTCTGGAGTCCTTACGAGAAGGGAAGATATGGACATAGCCACACCTGGAGGAAAGGCCAGGTGAAGACACGGGGAGGAGACGTTCCTCGGCAAGCCAAGGAGAGAAACCTCGGAAGAAACCAGCCCTGCAAACCCCTTGGTCATGGACTTCCAGCCTCCAGAACTGGGAGAAATCCATTTCTATTGTTTAAGCCCCTGGGTCTGCAGTACTTTGTTATGGCAGTCCCGGCAAACAAATACAAAGTCCTAAGCCCCGGTGCCTCCAAAGGACCCTTATTTGGAATTAAGGTGATTGCAGATGTGATAAGTTAAGATGATGTCATACTGGAATAGGGTGGGCCCTGATCCAATATGAATGTATCCTGATAAAAAGGGGAAATGTGGACACAGACACGCACACAGGGAGACCGCCATGTGGATACGAAGGCAGAGATTGAGGTGACACATGTAGAAGCCCAAGAATGCCAACGGTGGCCGGAAAACCACCCGGAGCTGGGGAGGCCTGGAATAGAGTCTCCGTCACAGCCCCAGCAGGACCCACCCCTGCTCGCACCTTGATCAGAGACTTTTGGCCTGCAGAACTGCAAGGCAGTGAATTTCTATTGCTTCAAGCCACCTAGTTTGTGGTACTTTGTTAGGGCAGCTCTGGCAAACCAACAGAGTATGGGAGATTAAAATATCACCCCACTACGAGTTCATCCAAACAAGGGGTTCTGCTGGCAGCAGCACAAAGCTACCATGAAAACACCTAATTATGAGAAATGAGCTCCCAGACCCTCCTGCCCGTCACTCCCTGATCTTATCAACTTCTGCCCCCTCCACTCACACAGACAACTGTTTACATGTCTGTGTTGCCCCCAAGCCAGCCACCCCCAGAACCATGCTCTGCCCATTGCTGGGCTCAGTAAATACTCTCACTTACGGCTAGGTCACCCATCCAGAATCGTCCTCTGCTCCCTGAAATCCCATCTCCAGGCAATCCAGACCCAGGCGGCACTGAGCCCTCCCACGTGGGTACAAGAGCACATTTAGACCAAATTTCAGTCGGTCCAGGGAGGCCCTGGATGCCAAACTTTTGCACCTTCTGGTGCTTCCCGACATGCCACCTGTGGCTGACTTGCGTTCTCTACCTTGGCTGCTGCCTGTCCAGCTGCACACCTGTCCACACCCCAGCTCCAAATAAGGAGAGGAACTAAACCCAGCACTGCCCCGTGGCAAGCTGTGGAGAAGGAATGGGAGTGGGTGGAGATGTACCTCCCTGCTCCATGGACGTGTGGTTAGGAAACGCCTTTCCTGGCCAGGAGCAGAAGCTGGACTGGGGCGAGCCGAAATCTCGGCCAAGACTCCTTGACCGTCAGGGAGCGCCTGAGACACTGCACAGCCAACAAACTGCGGGGCCAGGGACACTTGCAGAACGAGGATTGGCCTACTTTAGCCCCCTGCCCAAGGCTTCAATCCCCTCTGCAGTCTCCCTGCTGAGGGGACACCGCTGTTTGAACACCTCAGCTGACGTGGGACAGCTGGCATCTTTCCTGCCTGGACCTGAGAATGGCTGGCCGAGGCTGAGGCTTGGGGTGACTCATTCCCTTCCAAACTTGCTCATATCCGTGCAGTGGGCCACAGTTCCTGTCTGGGAGCCCCCCACTCCTACAGGTCTTCCTCAGCAGCCTTCCCCATGGCTCCATGTAAAATTTCACCCCCACTCATTTTTCCTGCCATGTTTCTCTTCTTGTCACTTTCCACCCTCTAAGTCCTGTTTGTGTATTTAACTGATTGCTTTTGGTCACCGTCTGTCTCCTCCCGTAGAGAGGCCGCCTGGGAGGGAGGGTTTATTTGAGGGCTTGGGGTTGCTATGGCAGGCACAAAGTCTGCAGCTGTGGCCTGCCCAAATAGAAGAGAGGCTGGAGCGCTAAGTGGGAGGCATTTCTGCAGTGGGTCCACAGCCATGCAGGGCTGGCTGGAGGGGACTAGGCAGGGGTCCTACAGGGAGGCAATGGGTCTCAGTAGCTGCTCCGGGTCTCCCGCAGAAGAGGTTGCAATTTCAGATCCGTGAGCTTCTCCTCATTCCAAACACTGGCTTCCTCCACTTCTTTTTCCTCTCCTGGGAATAATTGGAAAAATGATTCCTAAGTTGTCAGGAGAAAATAAAGAAACCATAGCGACCGATTTGCAGCCTCTCCTAAATCAGCCAAATGAGAAATGGATTTGGAACCACCTCTGGAGGGGGCGGCTAACATCTCCAGGAAGGCGATAACCATAGATTGTGTTTCAGCAGGCGGGGAGGGGCAGGGCTGGGGTGGAGCTGCCGAAAGCCTCCCTCAGCCACCCCCTGCGCTTCTAGTCCCTTCCCTGGCTCAGGGCTGGCCAGAAAGACAGCGACATTTCATGCAGGGCTCCGCAGACGGCAGGCGTTCCACACCCATTCCCTCCCTTCTCTGGAAATAGCCCTGGGAAGTAGGCAGTGTTACTGACTCCGGGTCACAGACCAGGAAACACAGACCTGCCTGTGGCCGCAGAGCTAGTTCATGGAGGAGGCTGGAGCCGCTGCTCATGCTGACATTGGCCTGGTCCTCACAACTGTGCCTTTTCTGTTGTGTCCCCAGAATTTTAACATTCTCCAGCCAGACACAGGCCAAGACCAACAACGCTTCACTTGGCGAAGACCATTTCGTGTTCCTCCAGCAGCCTCTGTGACCTCGGGCGGGCCATTCTGTCAAGTAATCCTGAATTTACCTCCCAGTGACATTGTGTCTCTGGGTCATCATCAGACTTCTCAGGGCAGACCCACGGGACTGTGGAGAAAAGGGCTTGAAGGAAGGAGGAGATTTGTGCCAGAGCCCCTGGTGCTGTCAAAGTCAAATAAAATATACAGACAAATCTCTAAGTTTAAAATGTTTTATTTGGGAAGCAAGAATTTCAGTTTAGGACATACACACAGACTGGGCGGTCTTCAGTATGTCCAAAGAGCAAAGAGAAGGTTGGAGGTTTCATAAAAATGAGAAATGTTAACGGATTGTTAGGAAAGCAAGTTCATTAGCGCTGGAAACGTTTTGGGGATCCAGCAAGCTCTGATTGGTGGGTGGGTGAAACTGGTCTTAGATTTCCACAGGTTGTTTCAGTAGCTATTAGATCAAACTGGTTTCAGGTTGCAACACTTGTTCCAGCAGCCAGGGTTGGAGACAGTTATATTCTTGGAGCAATGTTACGTGCTTTTTCCCCTGGTCTCCTAACTCTGTTTGCCTATGACAACAGTGACCTTTGTATGATCAACTTTCACAGTGGCGACAGGAGGAGCCAGATCTGAGGCAACACCCATGCCTTCTGGTCGGCTTTCTCTCTCTTGCTCCTAGCAGGGAAATGCAGGGTGAGTGACAGAAGTGGACTCAGCTACAGGCAACATCGAGTGATCTAGGTTCCAGGTTCAGCACTTTGACCATTGTCTTATCAACATAAAGAATTGGTGCTTTGAAATTTTGTCAAGTGCAGGTTTGAGCAGCCTGACGCAGAAGTTCCCAGGTCAGGGACTCCAGGGCAGGGAGTTGGAGGGGTGAGCTGGCTGCAAAGTCTCTAGTCAATGTAGGTTCTGGAAAAGAAAGAAAGAAGGAAGGGAGTCTCCTCACTTTACCTCTCTCGTCTCTGAAACAGTGTCCACCGTTGTGAGTCCTCAGCTGCCTGTAGCTCTCTACAGAACAGACCCTACCCTGCTGTCCTTACAAAAGGCCAACTTAGTATCCAGCATCTCAGATGTTGCCACAAGGGGCAACACTAGAAGTTGGGTGACTCCCTAGCCAGAACTCCAAGGCTACCACACACAGCTATTTAGACAAAAGAAGTGTGCTTGTTTATTTGCTTTAGAATGCAATTTCATGAGTGACATTTAGCATTTGTTGAGCCCCTATGTTTACAAAGTGCTTCCACCCACATGGTCTCACCGGACCACCTGTGAGGGAGCACAATGTGATCTCCACCTTAAGGACTGAGGATGGGACTCAGCTAGGAGCCCAGGACTGTCCAACTCCTATTCTAGAGGGTTCTTTACATCCACAGAGGTTTCGAAACCAAGGAGCGTGCCTTAAGGAGCATTTAAATTGCATTTGATGTTTAATGACTCTTATTTACTTATCACAAATACGATTTTTTTTTTTTTTTCCCGGAGACAGAGTCTTGCTCTTTTCGCCCAGGCTGGAGTACAGTGGCGTGATCTTGGCTCACTGCAAGCTCCACCTCCCAGGTTCATACCATTCTCCTGCCTCAGCCTCCCGAGTAGCTGGGAATACAGGCGCCCACCACCACGCCCAGCTAATTTTTTTTCTTTGTATTTTTTAGTAGAGACGGGGTTTCACCATGTTAGCCAGGATGGTCTTGATCTCCTGACCTTGTGATCCACCCGCTTCAGCCTCACACAAATACAATTTTTAGTGATACGAGAGCCAAGTCGCAAAGACGAGATTAAACATGTCCTCTCTTCTGTTGCACTGGCTTCTCTACATCATGGTAATGGGTTGTCAGGTTCAACTGCAGTATTGCTGTTAGAGGCAAAGGTAGGCAGGAAGCTCATTCTTGCAATCTCTGGAACTTTAGTAAAAACTCAAGGATATCTATTTTTTCCTTTCCCCAGAATTTTCTCAGCGTTCTCACTAACCAGATAATGTTAGCTTTATTTTGCATCCATTCATTTACTGAAGCCTACATGTGTTTCAGTAACTATGCTAAAAGATTCTGTTTGTCCCTATTTGAGGGCATTCTCAGTTCAGTGGGAGTTGGTGGCAGTGGCAGAAATGTACAGTTACAAGGTGATGCAATGACAGTGGCAGGCAGAGGGAGGTCTGGGAGCACAGAGGGGAGGCACCAGACTGGTAATATCAGGGAGGGCTTCTTGGAGGAGGTGACATCTGAGTTTCTCAAAGGAGAGGGTAGCCAAGGGAAGGAAAAGAAGTTGCAGGAAGTAGAGAGGGGCTGTTGAAGGAACTGGGGCACGGGAGCATTGGGTACTCAAACAAGGAGCGGTCTGGGGAGATGGACCTTAGGGAACACAGTGGGAGTGGGAAAAGCTCAGCCCAGCCCTCTGCTATGGGTTTTGTATGCTGAGTCACTGGGAGACTTAAAACAAAGAAGACCTTTCTTAAAGAGCAGTTTTAGGTTCACAGCAAAATTGAGCAGAAGGTACAGAGAGTTCCCATAGAGCCCCTGCCCCCAGCAGAGTTGTACGTTTGTTACAATAATGGGCCTGCATCAACATATCATTATCATCCCACTGGAAGATTCTGAGCGGGGAAAACATTTTCACGTTATCTTTTACAAAGTCTTCTTCCTGGCACTGAGTCACAGTCGTTTTTAAAGAATTAATGGTGTAGGTTGTTACTTAGCATTTCCCCAGAGCAAATGTTTCTACGATCCCCAAACGCCAGAGGCTATGATGGCTTCTTGTCCCACGCTGTAGATCTGTAAACCTAGAACAATGCCTGGTCTAGCAGATGCTTAGAAAGTAGAGGAGGGTAGAGGCGGGAGGAAAGCAGGGGTAGAGGGAGGGAGGGAGGAAAGGGAGGGAGGGAGGAAGATAGCAACAAGGTCTGTTGCGTATTTCCGAAACATCATTCTGGCCGCAAATAGAGGAAAGACGGCAGAGGGTGTGGCTTGTGGTCAGGGACAGTTAGGAGGCTACTGTCATGTTCCAGGTGCAAAGGGCAAGTGGTCTGAGTAGGTAGCCGTGGTGGAGAGGAGGGGACATTGAAAAGGTGGGCTCCACCCCATCAGGTGCCTGAGGATGTGAGTGCAGTAGAAAACCACCAGGAAGGTTTCGAGACCCAGGCCCAGCTCTCAGTCTTCTCTGAACCATGGAAGTAGAGGGAGAGTTTGTAAGGACTCCAAAGGGAAAGAGAACATGGGAGGGAAGGCGGGTTGGGGAGGGTCAGGTAGGATACTTAAGTTGGATTGAGTTTGAAATATACAAACTAAGAAAAATATCAGATGGTTCTTGTTTATTGTCTAAAGAGTAGAGGGGAGAAGAACAGAAAACAGACGTTTACGTCGGTTGGGTGTTAGATAAAAGGCCCCGAGTCCTCTGCTTCTGAGTGAGAATGACGATGCGCCATAGGATGACAGGGCCCTTTGGAGGTTCTGTTTGCAAGGTAATCTGTTTGCAGATAAGCTCAGGCACGGGGAAGGTGCATGGTGTGAGTGTGGCTTGCTGAACTCACAGCGAGCCATTTCAGGGATGCTGGGACGGAAGCCGCCCTCCCTCTCCTGCCTCTGCTTCCAAGTTCTTTCTGTGCAGCCCTGTCAACGCGCCGCCTTTGCTTCATAGCACGTTTCCTAATGGGCTCTGGCGTCACTGAGGCAGCCTTCATATTCCATTTGTTCCTTGGATAATAAGCTTAGCCTCGAAGCCAAAAACAGAAAGCTCTGATGATTGTTAAATACACATGCACGGGGCTGACTGCTCCCCAAAACCTCCAGTCAGACGTTGCACCAGTTCAGCAAGGCCATTTGCATCCGGGCAAATGGCCCTCAATGACTAGTAGAAATCCAACTCTATCTTGGCAAGGAAGGCCTTCAGTATGCAGCATTAATTTGGTTTGCACAGTGGAATGGAACACGTCTTTAGTTCCTTTTAGGGAACCTGACTTACGCTTTCTCCAAAGGGTGCTTCCTGGGGGCTCCCAGGCATTGGAAATGCCGGCTGTAACTCATCTCAGGGGCTCCCTAGTCCCAAGTACAATCTGCCTTATTTTTTTTTCCAGTTTTATAGCTCAGAGAGGATTGCGATGACGAGGTCACCTGAATCCTAATCACGTTTCGAGTCATCATTAGGACTTGATGCATTTGTTCTGGCACGGACAGCACCGCTGCAACTCACAGCCACAATGATTCTGTCTGGCTTCCCGCTCCACACCAGAAGTCTGGAAATGCAGGCTGTTCTTTTCCATTTGGAGTCCTGGGATCTGGGTTATTATTGCCAAAGGCAAAGGAATGAGTTTCTAGAATTATCACTTGGAGGAGCAATGTACCAGGGAGTAAACCTAGGAAGTTTCCAGAAAACTGGAACGTGATGATCTCCACAGTATACTCTGAATGTGAAAACCCAACTAATAGAACATTCGGAGGTCAGTGCAGGACTCCTCAGCCTGTCTCCGCCAGGCCTTTTAGTCAATCTAGGAGGGCAAGAAAAATCACTTAGATTTTAGGATCTTACTGCGCTCTTGGGGCAAAAATAAGCCTGTGGCCTTCAGGGGTCTCCAAGACACCTGCTCAGTAAGGAAGTTTAGTCTCAACCTCCAGAATGAACTAGGCTCAATTCAAACAAAATTGGTGAGGACCCACTAGTGCCAGGTGGGAGGTGACTAAGGTGGGCATAGGGGAAGGGATACCCTCAGTCCTGTGGTCACAGACTTGCTAGCTGGGCCCTCACCCCAGAGAGCAGCTGCCCAGGGGCTGCAGCAACAGAAAGCCTTCCCCACTGTTAAAGCCTAAGGCCTTGTCCAGGGAAGACTAAGGCCTGGAGGAAATCACCTGGGGAAGAACTGGGACTAAAGGGCGATGCTTTCTGCCAGGATCAGGCATACGGTTGTGCGCATTGTCCACTGTGCAAGGACATGCAGCTGAAAGGTGAGCAAGGGCTAGAGTCCAGCATGCCTGCCGCCCACCACACTGTGTGCCCCTGGTGTTGCGTCTGTCCAGAAGGGGCATCCTTCTCTAAGTCACACAGACAGACCCTGTGGGCTCACTAGGGCCCTGGACATGAGGAGGATGAAACAGCTTCGGGAGGGGGTCAGTGAAATTTGGCCAAGCAGCACAGGGCTGCAGACAGGATGGAAAATACTCCCTTTACCACACTGGCTGCCTTGCCTTTGGTGCTTTGGAAGGGAATTGAGGAATTAACAACCA